TTCATATTAATTCTTCCACATTATTTCTTTTCCTTCGTTGTTGAGCTTTATTTGTCAATTCATAACAAAAAGGAGGAGAAGTGTGCATATTTGAGCGGGAGAGTTTCTAGAATTGAGGGGGATATATATATATATATATATTGATATTCACATATTGATATATGTTGATTGTTTATCTTTCTTGATTAAGCTTCATAGGTAGTTTTGTTGAGCTAATGTGCAGATTACAGGTTGCTACATGTGTTGAACCTTCATGATGTTCAAGAAGAGTTCCGTTGTATTTTTTTGACAATTCATTGTAATTTGTTTTTTCTACTTGGGTAGATTACATATTATTTTTAGGGTTTTGTCACGAAATTGCCAAAGGAGGAGATTGTGAGATTTATATTTTGGGAAGATTGTAAAAAATACATATTCTGTAATTGGCAACTTTCAGTGTCAAAACAAGCCTTAGTCGAATTGTAAATTTAAATTACTATATCGGGATCGACAGCGACTACGGAATTTGAAGGTTGTTCAAAGCTACTATGACTGAGATCATTTGAGAAAGGTAAGAACAACACTTAATAAAGGAATCTAAAAAGGTTATGACACATTCCATACTTGGTATATTTTCATAAATTTCCAAAATAAGGTTTTTACCAAGTTCAGCTTGAAAATTTAAGTCTGCTAGACTTGAACCGGTTTAACCCCATTTAATCGGTTCAAGGGCTTCAAGATTGGCTTCGAATTCTTACTACTAATCTTAAACCGGTTCCGCACTCTTGAACAGGTTCAAGAAGTCCTGATAGCAATACAACTTTTAGTTACCTATTTCAGATTTCTATCCTAGTTAGTCTAGAATTGTACCAAATCCTTTGCACGAATTTTTCCATATTTTCAGAGGGATTAGGTCATTCTATAATCTATATAAACCTTGTCATACACATAGGTTTATTAGTGGCTTTTGCATAAAAAAATTCAGATATAATTGAGAGCCTTTTGAGAGATATTTTTATTCAGAAAATCAATCTGATTTTTCTGATTTTATTTTTGAGAGCACACACATAAACACAAGAGTAATTTAGTAGTGTTGTTCTCTATACCATTGGAATTGAAGCATAATAAAAGATTCAGAAATTCTGAAGAAGCGGAATTCATTCGTTCTTCATCAAATTCAGATCTTGAAGAAAAAGGGTGAAACGATCACACTTTGAAGGGGTCAAAACATTCTTGGAGTGTTGTTTGATCTACCTATAACTCTTCTACAGAGATCAATAGTAAGTCTAAGGTCGAGAGCTGTTGGACGGTGGAGTTGCAAAGTCAGGATTGTTAGTGATTGGTTTTTGGTAGAACGATAGGGTGTGAGATTGAGTCAAAGTTCAGTATACTTTGCTTCAAACATAGTGGATCGTTTATCTCAGGAGTGCAAAGTCCAATGAGGTTTTTCCTGTTTCAATAGGTTTGTTCTACCAATTGGGATTTGCTTGCTAAAATCCTGGTGTCATCTTTCAAACTCTATTTACTTTACTTGCACTTTATTTTGCTTTGTGGTTTGCTTTTAGTTTTATTTTGGTAAAATTAAAATACGTAAAAATTGGATAAAAAAGCAAATTAAATCTATTCACCATCCTCTACGTTATTTATCTATATTATATTTCACAACCATTTCGCTACGTACAAACTTTAAACAATTTGCAGAAGCGAAGAGGGGGACAGTGCCGTCACTATGAGATAAGAAAACCTAGTTCCGAGCAAGGAAGGAGCCGGAGATTTTTTTTCCAGGGACCACATTGTTCATTTCTTCAATCTAACAATTTTATATTTCCATTTATTTATTTATTTTTTACCTGGCAATGTTAGTGTGTTAGTAGGGGATGGGGGAAGATAGGGTTGTGATTCGAAATTGGGTCAAAGGCCCCAAACTGCAGCTGCCCCGGGCTATCGCGGCACCCAATCTAACAAATTGACATGCTAATGATTAAGTTAAACTAAAAGTTTAGGTCAACAGTTGGATTCTGGTTCCAAAACATGTGACACTGATAAGATTAGATTGTTTTACAGTTAGGGTAAAACCTATCCAACCACAGCAAGAGGTAAAAAAACTCTCTATATATAATGGTTTCATCCACCTAATTATTTAGGTGGGAGAAATTATTACATGGTTATCATGCACTTAGATTATGGTCATCTCATGCCTTTTATAAAGGTATTCATAGTGGTCTAATTAAACAAGGCTCTTGCCATGGATTGAAAATAAATTTATTCTTTGATATATAATATTGGGTTAATTTCATCGACTTTCTCTTGAGGAAGGCCAAATATTATTATTAGTATCACTTAGGTCTAATTTTACTTTTTCATTACTAATACAATTAAAAACATGTAAAAAGATAATTTTACCCTCATTTTTTAAATTCATTTTAATCCAAAATATTAGCAAACATAAAAGACAAAATTGCTCCATTAGTTTCTCATTATAACATATATATATATATATATATATATATATATATATATATCCCGTCTTTCATGGGGAGGATAAATTGGTCCCCATAATTTTTGGACAAAAGAACCTCCATTAAAATTTGTCATCTCATAAAAATATATATATCCCGTCTTTCATGGGGAGGATAAATTGGTCCCCATAATTTTTGGACAAAAGAACCTCCATTAAAATTTGTCATCTCATAAAAAAAACTGGTATTTATGTAATTTCAAAACACTCTCTTTTAGTTCAGTTCATTGAATTAGGCGTAGGTTTCCTAATCTTCGTCTAAGACGGCGGCCTTGAAGACTTTGGCACTGCTGCCAGCTTGCCTGAATCCAAAGAGGCATTCCTCAAGTCTGTCACCGATGTCGGCTCACGCGCCACCTCCATTTTCTCCTCCTCCGACTAGTATATTTACGTCAACTCCATGGCCGACTGCCAACGAATCGTCCGATGTTCTGGTCAAAATTGAGCCCGGAGCTAATCCACCGTGTCCCTGCACCGCCGAGAGGGCGGAAGATGGCCGGAGGTGACCGGAGACGAGGTGATCGCTGGTGATTGTGTGGGTGGGAATGGTAGCGGCAGTGGTGGAGAAGCAGGCGGTTGTGGGGTGAGGTGGTGGTGGCAGTTATGGGAGGGGGATGGTGTTACCGCCGCCGCGATGGTGCTGCAGGCGATGAGTGTTTGGATGTTCACAACTGTTGGGTCCGATTTGCGATTGAGTGTTGATCAGAATTAAAATTAATTAAAGTATGGAATTTGATTAATGAAATATCCATACACATGATGCATGTCTCTTGGGAGTATTAATAAGGGTATCCAATTGCCTCAAATATGTATATATATATAAAATTAAAAATTTACCAAGCATTTAAGAATAATTTAGTCTTTTAATATAATTCTTTGAGTTAAAATGAGTTAAAAGAGTGTTTTTTTGGCAAAGTCAAAGAATATTTCAATCATTTTATATTGCGTTAAAACTTTACAATCTATTATATGATTAGAGTGTGATTGTAAGACAAATTATTTCAATGTAATATTCGGTCACAAGGGTGTCACTAAAATAACCCTATAATATTTGTACAAAGTGATTGATTTCCCTAAGGATTTAAATTTGCACACTGTGCAAAGCAGGTAACTCAAGCAATTTGTTTATATTCATCGTAATCAAATAGTATGTACATAGTGAAAATAATTTTAAAAAACCATACTACGTGCAAGGAATACTCAACATACATTGTAAACGTACGAAAATTAAATTGTTACATTAATACATGGAATATAGAGAGAGCATGCATATATATATATACACACACACATAAGAAAGCATCATTTCATCCAGCAGGATAGGAGGTGTTTGGGCCTTCATTTCAAGCATCTAGCAGGAACTAGGAAGGTGCTTGGGCTCTTTTTTAAACAGCAGAAGGGATAGTTTCTTCCACTTTAGTTGATTTGAGGGAAGTGGTGTTATAGATCTACGGAAGCCCAATAAATGTGCGGTGTATGATTTAACAGAAAATGAAATGCCTGTATACAGAGGGCGAGTAGGTCCTGTTTCGTCTGTTATGTAGATCCTGGACATGAACACTCGCTCAAGAAGTAATAGGTTAGGCATGATGGTGGCTGACAAGACGGCGAAGGGGAGGAATAAGATGGTGTAAATGCCAATTCTTGTCCACATGTTTTTCGTTTGTACCATAAGGACGATGGAGGCAGCGAATGCCAGTGCCAGCATTGACACTCCGAGCATTAGAAATGTAATACCTAGTGCCACCCTTCCCGGAATAGAGAATTTGAAGTCTTTGAAGCGAAAGGATGATACCAGGACCGAGAAAAATAAAACCAATGAAATGGAAGTGCATGTAAGGCAAAGGATGTCTGCGATGGTAAAAATGAGAAAGAATGGATGGTTGAGAAAGACTGGGATGCCTGTTTCTTGTTCTAAACCCCCTGGTACTGTGAAGACAGCAGCAGAGGCAACAGTGGCGATAAACGCGCCAAGCCATGAACTGCTTTCTGTTATGAACTTCACCTTGTCTACAGATTTTCTGCGAAGTTCTTCCTTTTTCTCAACAAATACTTCTCTAGCTGTCTTCTCTTCACGGTTGCGATACAAACTTGAATCCACTGAACATCATGAGCAAATTTCCTTTACATGCTGCCTCCACACACAATAAATCAATCAATCAAAAACATATATATATATATATATATATATATATGATACTAATCTAAATCTTTCCCTCCATATATATATATTGCAAATATTTCCTCTTCTAATATTTACCTCAAACAAGAGCAAATCATATTGCAATTTGAGAACAGGGTTCCCTAGTGCTACTTCAAATACACAATCTTGTCCGACCATATGTAGAATGGTTTTCAAATCTTTGTCCCTATGTTCAATAAGCCTCCTCCAAGGAATTCCCATTTTCTACATGCTCAGCTGCCTGAGGGTACGTTTCGAGTATCTTCTCAACAATATCCTTAACAGCCGGCTTTAATTGCCAAAAATAATGGTGTGTCTCTGTTGTCTTTTTTTTTTTTTTTTTTTTTTGAATGTTTGTCTCTGTTGTCTTTCTCCCCATCAATCTCTGCAGTAGTATTGGAAGCTGATGATGATTTTGATAGCCCTCCATTGTCTTTGGTTTCACTCGGCTGAGCTTCTAGATGAATTATCTTTTGCTACTAAGAAGCGGGCAAGTTCCTTAGCTGATTCATATTTTACCATTTTCATCCTAATTGCTCCCCAGAAAGGCACTCTCCAAATCCATGCATCTTTATTTCCTACAAATTAGTCGGTAGTAATACATGAAAACTAACAATACTGGAAGTATGATCGAAATTGCATTACCAAGTATATAATTTCTCATACGTACGTACGTACCTTTTCCTCTCATTGCTGGAATAGGTATCAAATTTTCAACTCTCAAGAGACCTAAAACCACCAATTTTCCCATCAGTGCACCGGATAAAATTTATGTCCCAAAGGCCAAAGGTAGAGTGTAAAATTCATTTTGAATTAACTCTACATCCCTTCTGTCCTATAAGGAGGAATTTTCTCTTTGTAGCTTAGGTGATACCATTGGTCTATATTAGTAAACTTTGTATAAGTTTGAGCCACCTAAACAAGTGCTTATTTTTCTTTTCTTTTTCATTTATTTTTTAAATTTAATATTATAAAAGAAGACAGTGATTCAATGGTATAATACCAAGGAGCAAGTTATTCCTTGTAGGTCAAGGGGGAATTATTGTTGGTAATGTTGTGGGATTTGTAGTTTAAGGTTAATGATGGTCCTTTTCTTTCAAAAAGCAAGTGAAAAAGATATAGGGGTGTAAAAATATATATCTTCCAAATAAAATCAAATGCGCGCACACATATATATCAAATGTGCGCGCATATATATGTGTGAGCGCGCGCATTTGATTTTATTTGGAAGATATATATTTTTACACCCCTATATCCGTGTGCGCGCGTGAATGGGCGTACATATGGGCTAAAATTTTGACATAGGAGTAGAGTTTATTATATTTATCTCTACTGTATATTGGATAACTGAAACCCGGGCTATCGATTTCACTAAAGGCCAAAAGATGGTCAATTCTGATGTGAGTTTTTTAGATTATAGGACAAATATGCTTTTTAAATTGTTGTTAAAATACTTTTGTTCAATATTTGTTGTGTGAAAAAGACAAGTATACTCCTAACCAAATCAAATTAGATTGAACGAAATTGTCATGAGGTAGGGTTATAATTGTAACAACAGGTCAGTTTGTTACACACATATAATTAGAAGAGAAATATTCAAATTGCATGAAAGGTAAGGGTAATAAACCCTTACTAGAGTAAAGGTAAGTGTAATTTACCTTGAAATATTGGCAGTTAACGTGTTATAATGGTAGTTTGATTCTCAGCTAAAAAATTACAAGAGATGCAGGTATTGATCTACTTATCTCTATGTGTATGTGCGAGAGTAAGAAAAAGCTAAAGCAAATAAAGATAAATTATTCCAACCTCTCCTTTAATTTAACAAACCTACATATGGTATTTCTTGATTTTTTAAAAATTATAATATCACTTTCTCCCTCTGTTATGATATGTTTGGTTGGAGGTAAGGATTAGGGTGGGATGAATGAGAGGAGGAATAAAATAACTCCTTCATGTTTGGTTGGAGGGAAGGGAAGATAGGGTGGAAACAAAGAAGGATAAAAGTATTATTCCTTCATTTATTTTTTTCAATCCGTCCAAAATTGAGGGAAGAGGAGAGAGAAAGAATGATATAACTAACAAGTATATAATTTACGTTTTAAACCTTCCCAAAAGTTAAACAAGGAGGATAAAAGCATCTCTCCTTCATTTATATTTTCCTATCTGCCCAAAATCGGGGAAGATCGAGGAGAGAGAAAGAATGATGTGTATTAATGGTTCATAATTACCTCCGTTAGAGGATTAACTTACTTTTTTTTTTCAGGGCAAGAATGTTAGGGGTTAGTGGTTAGCTGTTAAAGGGGAGGGGGAGGGTGCAACCCAATCACTCAGGTAATATGACAATACTTAGCTACTCATTGATAAGTAGTTTCACCCTACTGACTTCTTATGTATCCTAATAAAAAAATAACATGTCAGCTTTAATAACAAAATCAGCAAAATAATAAAAAAAAATTGAAAAGAAAATCGGATCAACCCGTTTTAATTGGGTAATCATCCTTTCTCTTTTCTTTCTATTTTTCATGACTTCCCAAACCCACGTCCTTCTCTCTCCACTCTTCTTCTTCTCACCTTCATGGGACATCATTAATTAATATTGATCAAGTATGTTTGATTCGTGTTTGGGTTATTTTTCTTTTTTCCTTCTTGTGCTCCATTGAAAATCATCATTCAATAGGCAAGCAAAAACTGTAAGTTCAACTAGGTCTTGTAGCGAAAGTATGATTTAATTTTTTGTTTTTCACATTTAGGGTTTAATTTTTAGAAAGGGCTCTCAGTCATCGTTCAATAAGCTAGTATTCTCAAAATTTTCTATTTCTGCCTCTTTTTTTTTTTTGGTTAATTTCTGTTCTTGATGGCCTAGGTTGAGTTTTATAAAAGAGGGAAGGATTATGTGTGATATTAAATGGTCCAAATATATCAATCAAAAGGCAAGCAAGAGCTATAATATCAATCAAAGGGCAAGCAATAGCTATAAGTGCAACTGGCCTGGACTTCTTCTTCTAATGGGCTTCAATCCTCCTCAGAAGTTATGGTTAATTTTTAGAAAGGGGTTTTCAATCATCATCAGAAGTTAAACTATTGATTCCATTTGACCACTATTACTCAGATTTGTGGTTGATATATGCTTTCTAGTACAAGTTTTTTTATAGATACAATGGACCATTGAATATACTTACGGAGCTTTTCAAGTTTTCGCTACCACCATGTCAATATTTTACATATCTTATAGCATTTTCTATATGCTATACTTTGTGCTTTGTCCCATGGAGGTGAGAAGAAGAAGAATAGTGGAGACAGGAGGGCGTGGGTTTGGGAAGCAATGAAAAAGAGAAAGAAAAGTTCAAGGGTGAAGAAAAAGAACAGTGGAGATAGGAGGGCGTGGGTTTGGGAAGTGAAGAAAAAAAAAAAAAAAAAGAGAAAGGTGATTACCCAATTAAAACGGGTTGATCCGGCTTTCTTTTCCTTTTATTATTATTTTTTTTATTTTACTTATTTTGCTATTAAAGTTGATATGTTTTTTTTTTTTTTTTTTTTTTTTTTTTTTTTTTTTTTTTTTTTAAGGACATATCAGAAGTTAGTAGAGTGAAGCTACTCACTAGTTTGGACTCAATACTGTGCTATGGCAGAGGGAGTGAATGGTTTAGAAAGAAACAAAATGGTATTTTAAAAATATATATATATTACTTCCATATTCTAAAATACTTGTCCATCTTTCTATTTTAGGAGATTCCAAAATACATGTCTCATTGCTAAAATCGATATACTCCTTTTTATAACATTCCTAAACTACCCTTTTGGTATTTACTTTATTAAACAAGTGCATTAATTTCGGAATACTCTTTTATCTTTTAGTAAGGACAATTTTAAAAAATAACTCTTATCAATACAATAAAAAAATATTAAAAACCTACCATTATAAAAAGTTGATTCCCCAAAATATTTAAGAATGGAGTATATTGACAAGAAACACTCTGTACTTAAAAATCTTATTTAATTAAGGTAGGGGTTTATAAATAATTTCGGAAGGCCAGAGTAATTTATGAAAACTTGGAATAAAGTGTGCAAGTTTGTTTGACCGGAGAGGAGGTCCATGTGTCCATGAATTTACTCAAGCAAATAATAATTATTAATTTTTCACAGAAATTGTATCTCACCGTTGTAAGGGTAATGCTGCATACCCACTCATGTGGGACAAATGACCCTTATTACATTCTCTCCCACCCAAACTCGCAACGCCCTCGTTGACCGGGCCAGGTGCTTGGCGTAAGGGCCGGATCAAGGACTGGGTCTGGCTCTGATACTAACTGTAATGAATGGGCACTTACCCATTTACCCAAAAGCTCGAACTATTAGGTAATGCTGCATACCTATCCATTTATACCCAATCACTTTCCCATCCGATTTCAATGTGGGACAATTTACCCTTATTACAATACGACACTTCAAGGATCCTTCAGTCTTCCTCATTTCAAATGCTGCTGAATTACTTGCAAGATGCTGCAGAGCAGTCATACCATGTTCATCTTTTTCAACAACTAAATATTTACTTTGTTCCCCAGTCGCAATATATAAGGCCAAATCTACATATATTTCACAATAAAAATATTGTTTTTAACCGTCACAAAAAAAAGAAAAAAAACAAAAACAAAAACAAAAAATAGACAACTACCAACTTATTAATTGCATTGTGCCAATATTAATTCGTCACCATACAATAAGAAAATCTTGTAACTTTATGAAAAATAATAAAATAATAAATAATAGTATTTGAAAACCAAAACTTAATTTTAGAGTTGTGCGATATTACAAAGAAAATGACAACCAGTTTTCAAAAATTTTGAAATGTGAAAAGTCAAAATAGAGTTATCAAATGAATTTTGTTATTTTTTAAAAAAATAAAAAAATAAAAACCACAGCTGAAAACCAAAACCGAAAAATTTACCAAACAGGTCTCAAGGGTATCAATCAACTAAGAGATCCAACTCACCGAAATGGCCAAAGAAAACAGCACTGTGAAGTACAGTGGTCTTGTTATCGTTTTGATAAAATTCCTTGCGCTCTGCTTCACTTTCAATATTCTTATCAAGAAATTTGAACATCTTAATTTGGCCATAGCGGGCAACACTGAAAAGAGGCCTCTCTCGAAATTTGTTGGCCTTACTTGACAACTCAGGTGCCATGTCTAGCATTCTCTTGGCAGCTGGGACTAATTTGTCAAAAGCCACGGCCTCGTGTAGGATTGTGTTTCCAACTGCATTTTGACGGGTAAGCTTGCAGTATTCATTCTCAGGCAACATCCCTAGCAGTTGATTTACGAAGTCCGCTTTGGCAGTGTGTGCAGCCATATGAAGTACTGTGTCACCGTGTAAGGTTAGAACGTGCAATGGACCCTCCGGATATTGGTCGCGTTGTCGACACTGTTCAACCAACTCGCTCGGAGTCTCTTCTTTCATTAGAGCATTGTAAAGCACAGCATTTCGCTTGAAAAAATTCATCATCACTGCTAGCAGTACTGTTATTGGCAGAGTTAGAATGCGCCATATTGGATTGATGCGTTACAGTCTTAACTGCATAAAAATACATGTATATATCAGTGACATAATTTAAAAAAAGTAATATATTAATTAATAATATTTCTATTCAATATTTTTGCCCTTAATGTTTCAAAGTTATCGGATTTATTGAAGATTTCACATTTAATAACTGAATAATAACATATCAGCTATATGCATCAAAATTCTTTGATAAGATATATCATTCTAACATGTCGGTTAAATAACATATGCATCCATTGATCTTTTATTAGTAAGTTTTCTTTTTTATTATTTATTTGACAAAAGTATCACAAATTTAATAAAGTAATCCAAGTAGTATTTAACCTCTCTAATTAGTTTATAATTAATCAAGTAATGATCGAAGACAATAATTACTTAACAGTAAAATCAAAAAATAAAAATAAAAAAAGACGACAATAATTAGACCTAAAATAAATGAATTAACCTGATTAAAAAATTTGTACTTATTGTATCACCACTAGTTGCCAAGAACCGGTACACCTCCTCTCCCTCTGATCTCAGGAATGAAAAGTGCGGTCTCTCTTCCAAGAAAAGAGATTTATAGAGCGAGCACTCTCACTCCCTATGTGAAAAACGTGGGTGGGCCCAGTAAAAGAGGAAATGAGTGAGTCGTTGGATTTTGAGTGATTAATTCCACTTTCTGTCGGTATCTCCGATCAAAGTAAAGTTCTTTAATAATTGAAGCATAATTAGAGTTGTGCTAGGGGCACGACTGTTGCATTTGAATGGTTTGATGGGTCGGTCTCGTATTTCACTTGATCACGTGGGACATAATATATTTTCTTCTTTTGTTTTTCCCCATAAATAAAGATATTCTCCATTATTAAAGTATGGTAAAATGGTTCAGAAATTCAATACGAAGTATGTAATATCAAGCCTTTTATCAGAAATTCTATACCACATATGTAATATCAAGCCTTATCTCTTTTTAGAGACATCTATACCACATATGCAATATCAAGCCTTATCTCTTTTTTAGAGACATTGTATTCAACAGCCAAGTGGGGTAACATAAATAAATTAGTCTATTCACACAAGAAGTACATGCGAGTTGCTCATTGCAAAAGCAGTTATGTTTATTTAGTTGAAAATTTAGTTTTGATTATTTACCGGAAGAAATTATTAGATGATTTTGATCTATTAATATTTGATGGATTAATTCAATTAAAATCCTTCGATCATAAAATTTGTCTGAATTTTGTGATTGATTTAATTATTTTCAACAATTACTTATTGTATATCTATAATCACAAAAATATAAACAGTAAAATAAAGTAAAGTTAGAGGGATGTCATTCGAATTTTTAACATGAATCCCTGTTAGAAGAAATCCGACCAATCGGTATGAAAATTATGAGATATAAATTTTGTAATTGACAAATTTTGGTGTCAAAATGTGTCCTATCATACTATAATTTATTTATTTATTTTTGAATCTTGATATCAAAAGCGGAACAACAATTGTACGCATACTTCAGTTTAATAAGAACATCAATTAGAAAAGGTATATGAGTGATGACACTTTATATTTCACATTTGGTGCGGTAGGATGTGAAAAAAAAAAAAAAAAAAAAAAAAAAAAAATGAATTTTTATTTACAGCCGGTGAAACTTCATTTACAACCGGTGGAAGTCTAATTACAACAAGTTGAACTTTTTGCTCAGAAGATTTTTTTTCAAAGTCCGCAAAACACAACTGGTTGAACTTTATTTACAACCTCTTGACGCATCTGTGTTAGTCTCTGGAAAACTCGGTTACACTTGCATAATGTGCAAAAAAAAATCAGATTTTGGAATCTTTTTAGTTTCTTATTTTTACCTGAACTTTTAGGGCCTGTTTGGGGGATGCTCTATCTTGTTCTATGCCCTTCCCTACAGTGCAAATGGACACTATTGAGAACACCAACTTGTTTGGCATGGGCTATATTCTGTCCAACAGTGCAAGAACAATTTCTGATTTTGGGCCAATTTTCGGGAAAAAAAAATTCGTGTTCTAAAGTGTTCCCAAATTTCAGCCGGCCCACTATTCACTGTAGAAAGGAGAACAACATCCCAAAGTGCAGGAATTCTGAGAACACATATTTAAGAATCGGTGGAACATTGCCCTAATTGTGAACTTGCCTCCATCTCTATTCTCGTTCTCAACTGTGAACTTGCCCTAATTTTTGAAAAAACACTCTGACTTGCCCTCTCTCTCTCTCTGCAACTGCAAGCTACAAAATCTACAAGAATCATAAGTTCGAACCGACCTCCATCTCTATTCTCGTTCTCAATTCTGAAGTTGCCCCCCCTTTCTCTCTGCAACTGTAAACTACAAAATCTAGCAGATTTGTGAACTTGCCCCTTCTTTCTCTCTCAAGAACCCCATTGATTCATACATAGATAAGCTCAGACTTAGCTTTTTACAGCTAATTGAAAAGGACCCTTTTGGCTGTCTGATCTTATTTGACTATTTCTATTCCTCCTTCTATATCAATTCTCTCTAGTAACTAGGTAGATCAACCCAAAAATTACCGAATACAATTTGTGTGTTGTTGAAAACAATCTCTATCTCAGCTTTGCGTTTTTCGGCGAACCCCACCTCTACGTTTTCCGGCGAACCTAAAGCTTCGGCGCGTAGATTTGTCACTTCGGCGAGCTTTTATGCGCTCTCATCTGCCGATTCCGACGAACCCCACATCTGCTTTTTTTTAACTAAATTTTTGCTTGACCCAAATTCTCAAATCTCTTGCAATTTCTTCACAATATATATATATATATATATATATATATATATATATATATAGCAAAATAGCTTGAATCCTCATTTTTTATATTTGTCTATCTGAAATTTTAAAAAAATTGTTAGATAATATAATATATGACTTATTATTAAATAATATGATATATGATAAAATTTGTTTTTCTATATATATCAAAATAGCTTGAATCCTCATTTTTTATATTTGTCTATCTGAAATTTAAAAAATTTAAATTTAAATGGAGAAAGAAAATAATTGTGACTTATTATTAGATAATATAATATATGATTAAATTTGTTTTTCTATTTTTAGTAAAAAGGTACTATGAAGAAGCAAATTTTCTATTTACAGGTTTTTATTGGTAATTTTTTAATAAAAAAAAACCCAACACTCGTACTAATTTCATGCAATGAAATTTATTGGTAATATTTATAGGTTTTTATTGGTAATTTTTTAACAAAGGAAACCCAAAAAAATTTTTTGGTAACTTATAGTTTTGGAATTTGTCACTTAAAAAAAAAAATATTTCATGATTTTTTTTTTAGTGATTTTGGTTACACTTTTACTCTTCCAAACATGTTTTATTCTCATATTTCTTAGAACAATATACATTACCAAACATGTTCTACCATGTTTTTGTTCCAAAATTCTCAGAGCAAATTTGGAACACCAAACATGTTTTGTTCTCATTTCAGAACATCACACTACAAAACACTTGTTCTGTTCTAGGCTAGAGTAATACAATACATCACACTACACTTCCCAAACGAACCCTTAGGATTGTCCTTGCACATTTAAAAAAATAATAGAATTAAAAGCATCCTTACCCTTCACACAACCTTTCGAAGCCGCTCCCGGCGTGCTAGCAGTGATGGTGGGGCTTGGGCCTGGCACACACGAGGCCAGTGTTCGAGTCCTCTACCAAGCCTTTTAGTTTTGTCGACTAACCTATTTCGTAACCTCTTTATAGGAGAAATAAAAGCACCCATGCCTGCCTGATATTTTACATATATACGTTACTTTAATAATGGAGATACTCTTTATTTTCTGCTGACTTAGATGAAAGATTTGTACTTGTGTTGGATAGATTATACAGTGGTGTAAGCATTATTGGTACAGCTGCATTGCATAAAACCGGATAAGACTTCCAGGATAGAATTCGGGTCCACCTTGCATATCATTACTTGGACATTTCTATCTCCTCGGACCTACTCACGTTTTAAAAGTAAATTAGAGTCGTTCTAGGGTCACGAGTCACGACTGTTGCATTTGAATGGTTTGATGGGTTGGTCTCCTATGTATTTCACCTCAGGTGGGACATAACATATTTTCTTCTTTTCTTTTCTCCATTATTAAAATATATTGTAAAATATATTATTATTATATTATAGAATACAATCGAACTATGTATAAATTTATTATATAAGGTTTAAGTTTCTTATTCCACACATCTCGTCACTTATGTAAATCTCTATATATTCTTATATCTTTTACATAAATACAATATACAATATCCTCTCTCTTTATTTAAAAAACAAAAAATCCAATTTTCACCAAATCACTTTAGCCATGCAGCTTTTAAGATCTTAATGATTTCCAAACTCAAAATTGTTTTATTTAATCCATCTTGATTTTAAGGGGCTGTTTGAATATATTGTAAAATATATTATTGCTGTATTATAGAATATATTCTAAACATGTATAGGTTTACTATATAGGGTTTAGGTTTCTTACTTTCCACACATCTGGTCACCTATATAAACCTCGTGTATCTCACATCTCATGTATCAATAAAATATGGAGTTCAATATACTCTCTCTTATTCTAACATAGTATCAGAGCCTTTCGATCTCCAATTTATTAGTTTATTGTACCATTAGCCCCATCCTCGGCGACGGCGGTCAACCGACAAATCATGCTTCAAATTTATGTTTCCGCATCCCAACCTCTGGTCTCAAATCCTCCATAATCAGCAAACGCCTTATTTAGCTGCCTAATCAGCCTCCAAGACACATCAACAACGGTGCTAGCAGTAGTGCATCACCTGCCACGACGCCATGTCAAACACTGCTACTGCCACCTACCACGTCAGTTACCATATCAGACATAGTCAGCAACGGTGCCACGTCACCTACCACATCAGCTATTAATCGTGCCTCCATCATCATCATGGATGAAAACCCATCTCCACCAAAATTCCATCAACTTTCATGATCTTGCATTCAATCTCAAGTTGGATTCATACTCACCTTGAGTTTAAGGGAACTATTAGATTATAAGTTTATCTATTATCCCACCATCTAGCTTTATTGCATATTACAAATTACCGTATAAGAGTACACCTACCATATTAGTATATATAGGTTACTTGTTCATCACTCACCTACCCCCAAACTTTTTCCTATATATATGACTTTTATGTAATATTTCAAATACATCAATACAGAGTTCTATACTTTCTTTTATATTTCTAACACCCATAAATAAAGATAATCTCCAATATTAAAGTATGGTAAAGTACAGTTAAGAAATTCTATACCACATATGTAATATCAAGCCTTCTCTCTATTTGAGTTAAGTGGTAACATAACTCAAATAAATTAGTCTATTCACACAGGAAGTATATGCGAGTTCTATAGTGCAAAAACAGTTATGTTTATTTAGTTGAAAATTTAGTTTTGAATTTTGATAATCTATAGGGTGAATAGGTTAACTTGCCTAATTTTTGTGAGTGATTTAATTACCTTCAACAATTACTAATCATACATCCACAATCACAAAATATAAATAGTAAAATA